TCACAGTGCAAGATTTTTCCAGATCCCAAAAGACACCACACATCCCCACCCATCTTGAGTCGTAGCTATTCATTGCTGGTGATTTTATGTACAGGTACTAGCATCTACCTCCTTCATTATGCTCCCTGGGGTAGTTGTACTATGTGCTTATCAACTGAAACTTTTTAAAAATAATTTACTCATTTTTCCATTTTATTAATATTCGTAATAATATAGTAATAGGACATTATGTTGATTCTTAAATTTAAACTACAGTTAGGTTATACTATTTATGAAATTTGTTTCATAAAAATAAAAGGGGTGTTAGGAAGATTTGTTATTAGAAGTGTGTTGGGGGGCGCCTGGGTGCCTCAGTCGGTTAAGCGTCTGCCTTTGGCTCAGGGCATGATCCCAGGGTCCTGGGATGGAGCCCCACGTCTGAGCGGGAAGCCTGCTTCTCCCTCTCCCTCTGCCTGCCCCTGCCCCTGCCCCTGCTTGTGCTCTCTCTCTCTCTCTCTCTCCTTCTCTGTCTGTCAAATAAATAAATAAAATCTTTAAAAAAAAAAGTGTGTTGGGTCTGAATTTATAGGATGTGAAGTGAAATAAAGTTTAGAGATGGCTTAACCTAGTTCCCTAGCTTCCCAATGAACAAAATCAAGGCCCAACAAGATAAAGTATCTTGTGAAAAGAGTAACTGCTAGTTAAAATATAAGCACACAAGTTTCAAGACTCTAAATTCCAGAGTTCTTGGATATTCTTTAAGAATCTGTACATCCTAAGGGTGCCTGGGTGGCTCAGTTCGTTAAGCGTCTGACACCTGCACAGGTCGTGATCCGAATCCTGGGACAAAGCCCCATGTTTGGGCTCCCTGCTCAGCGGGGAGCCTGCTTCTCCCTCTCCGCCCCCCCAACTCGTGCTCTCTCTCTCAAAAAATTTTTTAAAAAATCTTTTAAAAAAAGATCCTGTACATCCTAAATAAAGTAAGATTCTCTAAAATACAAATTCTTGTCCAATTCTGAGATTTCATACCAACAAAACCATTGCCTCTGCCTCATACCCCATCTCCCTTTCGTGCCATCACTACTTCTACCACTAAAGGAAGTGACTGTGCAAGTGACATTTTAGATGATCTCAGCAGCCAAGCATTCCTGGGAGCAGTGCTGGGGGAGGAGCTTTGATGGACAGGGTTCACGTCAACAACAGTCTCGGACCTTCTCCTTTGAATTTCCACTTCTTCTGGTCCAGCTCCCTAGGATAACTTTTGGACCCAGGTAAGATTCTGTTCATCACCCACCCCCACCTTCCATACCCCAAGATGAGTCTTCCAGAACATTCTGCACTCTCCAACCTGGACAAAGTTGTGGAGAAACTAACTTTATTGTAGTTTCAGTTATAAAAAGGTTGACAGATTCCAAATTACTATTTTGCTATCCATCTAAGGGCAAAAAAACCTCATCCTTCCCGTGACCCAGAACTACCAGGGATATTTATGCAGCTGTGCCCAGCTCCACTCCACAGGGGGCCATTCACTCTGTACTCTGTGTGTGTGCGGTGTCCCCTGCAGTTCTATGGTTCAGCATCTCCATGGCTGAATGCAGGGTCCCTGCTCCTACTCCCGCAAATGCAAAAGGAGTTCATAACGTAAAGATGTCTGATCTTAACTTGGATGACTATCCGGTGAAACACTGACTTCACTGGCACAGTGTATTCACGCTTTATTTTCAGCTTGAATTACAGTGTAACCTCCTTGCTGGCCAGGTGTTCAATGACAAGAGACCCTGCCTCATTGTGAAGTTTGGTTGCTGTTGCGGGAGCTCCCTTTTGATACAGCCAGACACTGGGTGGATGAAGGTTTTTAGACTCAACCCTCTTTCCTGTCCCTCCCTTTTGAGTGGCCCACACAATTGCTCTTCCTGCTCAAGGCTGTCCCGAGCACTTCAGCATTTTTGAGAAGTGGGGAAGAACATCTTGAGCCCAAGAACTGAGGAAGCTTCCACTGGCTTAAGTACACAGATGAAGGAGAAGCTCGAAGTATCAATTTCACCCAGAAGTTACAAGGCTGAGCTCTGAAGTGAGACAGATCTGTAAGCCTCCTCCCCAAGACTTTAAGCAAATAACCAACAGTACTAGCCTCACAGTTACTAAAAGTGTAAGGAACGAATGCAAGTAAAGCCTGGTACATATAAGTGCTCAAGAAAGGTTAGCTGTCATCATGATTCCCTTCCCACAGAGGAATGGTCTCCTAACATTACAGTTACATAATAATAATAATAATTAGACTAAAAATAAGAACCATAAACTCCAGTACAGTATGAGGAATGGACTACCCCTCGGGAGGGGCAATTTCCGCTTCATTTCATGGAATTATAACGAATCATAGCAGCCATTTGATACATGTTTTTTTCTTTTACTCTCAGATTCTCTTCCATACAGCAGCCCTGTAGAGTAAGAATGTCCAGCCGATTTCCTTATTCCCATTTTTCAGAAGACACTGAGGCTCAAAGAGGTTAAGATTAAGTCTGTGACTGACTCGGTAACTAGAACGCGGGCTTTGAAACTTGCCTTTCATCAGCTTTTCACTTCAGGGTGTTCCACTAGCAGTGGCATAGATCCTCCACTAGGGGGCGCATGTCGTGTAATGGGGTGTGTACTGGCTGTAGTTGAGGGACTGGGCTGGCTCAAAAAACAAACAACCCCCAAAACAAAAAAAGCAATCTAAGTAAAAAAACTGTGTATTTTCCACATAAACATATCTTTAAAACATCTCCCTAAGCCTCTCGTCCCAGCTGATTACATCTACAAAGCCATTCCGGTGTAGAAATTCAGCAATTAAGATTGCATTTCACAATATGGGCAAGTAGGTATGTGATTTTAAAAGGCCCTTCCGGTGGTTCTGATATGCCCCTTCAGGTGGGAATCCATGTAACAGTCCAAGCTACAAAAGAGGGGATGTGTGATATTTGCTTTGATGGTATATGATCTCTCCCACCACACTTAAAACCAACGCTTCAACTCAGTACGAGAGACATTGTTTTGAGGGGGGGCCTCTACTTGTTTCTCTTGATTGCAGTGGATCTCTGAAAACTCGGGCTGGGAATAAAACTGCTGCCCCAAGCCCAGGTGGTTCATGTCTAGGAGGCCCGCGGGCCTTCCGCCAGAGGTCCTGCCTGCAACACAGGACGATGTGTTGCAAGAATGTCATGTTAAAGGTTTTTTACAAAACTCACTCTTCAGTTGCCGCATCCATAAAGCCACATAACTGTTCTCTCTCTTTTTCTTTAAGTTTATTTTCAACTGCAGGGAGTCACCTTTCCTTCCTCTTTTTGGGTGAGAGATATCTCTTTGCTAAGTCATTATTCATTACACTGAAACCAAGGAGAAGAAAAGACATAATGAAGGGCAGGGCCTTGAAACAGAAATGACCTGCCTTTTGTCCCCCCTGATAGTTTACAGTAAATATTGCAGGCTGAGCAGGTGCCCAGTGGTTTACAGATCAAACTACACTTGCCCCAGATCCCACCTGCCCCTTGTCACACAAACCAACACACACTTGAGTCAAGAAAACTTTTTTCTGTTTACTTATGTTAATCATCAAGCCAAAGCAAATAGCCTTCCACTTTCTGGACCCAGGGTAGCAATTAAATATGAAGACATCACAAATCCTCTAGATAAATAAAGGTGTGTGGTGTGGGGAGCCCTCTGTATTCTAGGCAGGAGGTGGACGATCATGTACCAGAGCAGTTGCATCAGCTGTCACATGTTAACAAAGCTGGTTTCCCAACTCTGAACTTTCTGTTTCACACACCAGCACCAGCACCACATCTGGTGAGCAGGAAATTGACTTAAGTCCTTAATTTAGGATTTAAATCAACCACCAGTTTACAAGATCTGGGTTGAAACACTCTGTTTCTGTGGTTATGGGTCCATTGATTTATTCACTCAGGATGCGTATCACTGAGCACCTAAACTCAAGGGAAATGACCCATAACTAACTAAATAAAAGACCCCTCTACAGTGAGGGGGAAGCTGAGTAAATAGACAAAAATAATTACATGATATTTGTGCTGAGGTATGTACAAAGGTATGGGGCAGAGAGACAGTTACCAAGTAAGAAATACAGACATAGTGGAAAAGGATAGTGATTATCCACTTAATACCCTACTGCCTTTCTGCACATAATCGGAAAAGGGTACAATAACGCAGCTACCTATTCTATTCACTTGAAAAATCAGGGGATTGGGCATACAGGATCTCAAGAAAGTCCTTTCTAAGAAGCCTCACACTCAGGGGAAACTTAACAAATGCAAAACTGTTTCCACCCCACTCGGGAAAAATCCCGGGAAAAGGCAGGCAGAAAAACTGCCTCAGCAACCCTCCACCCAGAGCAGCCTGGAATCCAGACTGACCGGCCAAACACCTGGCACCAGAAGGGAACTTCTGCATAAAGCTGCAACATACTTCCCAGATCTTGGCACAACTCCCCAGCATAATCCCGGGTTCCAATCTGAGAGGAGGGGAAGTCCAGAAGGATGACTGGGTTTCAGCGTTCAAACACTGCCACTCCTCTCTGTCTTTAGGACTGAACCCTTGTAAATGGATTGCCCTGGCTTCTTGGAGAACATGGTGCGAGAGCATAAAACTATGAGAGTTATTCGGTGAGCTCTCACCTTAGCGTGGACGACTGCCCTTCATTTCCAGTCCCACTTCCCGGCCCCTACGCTACCCTCGGATTATCCGCGGGTAAAAATGAGACGCTATGCCCTAAGCATCTGACCCTGCGCCTGCCACGTAGCTCAAGAAACCCTGCTCGCCGAGCCTGTGCACACACCCCTGCTGGGTCCAAGCCTGCAGCGACTCTAGGGTAGGGACAAGTTGCCCCCAGGTGGGTTAAAGTTGTCCAGACTCCCCGCCACCATCCCCCACGCCGGGCCCCTGGGCTGTGCCGGCACGCGGGGGAGTGTGCGGGTGCGGTGGGAGGGTGAGGGGGTGTGTGCGCGGCCCGCGCGGCGTTAACCCCTTACCTTCCAGCAGCACCTCCTTGCCGGCGCGCTTCAGCGCCTGCACCGCCTCGTCGTGGGTGGCGTCCCGCAGGTCGGCCCCGTTCACAGACAGGATGGCGTCGCCCACGTACAGGGCTTGGGTCTGATCCGCCGCCAGCCCCTTGAAGATCTTGCTGATGAGGATGGGCATCTTGTTCTCCTTGCCCCCCTTGATGCTGATGCCCAGCCCGCCCAGCTCCTGCTTCAGCACCTTCACGCCGCGCTTCTGGTTGGAGATGGACTCGGGCACCTGCTCCGGCAGGTCGGTGAAGGCGGTGCGGACCCCGGCGGGCGAGTCCGGGGGCTGCGCGCCGCCGGCGCCCCTGCAGAACGAGCCATTGGTGGCGGTCCCGATGCCGTTGTACGCCGCGGCGCCCTCTTCGCAGCTCAGAACCAGGGCGTCCTCGCTCAAGTTCACCAGAACTTTGTGCCAGCGATCCCGCACCAAAACTTCCAGCAGCCCGCTCCGCGGCGCCCGGCCGCCTCCCCCGCCGCTCGGCCCTGCTGCCGCCGCCGCCGCCGCCGCCGCTACCGCCATCTTTCCGGCATTCTTAAAATGCCATGTGATTGCCAAAGGGGGGAAAAGTGGGGAAGGGCTGCGGGGGAGGCCGCGGGCCGGGGGAGCGAGGAGCGCGCGCCCCGCAGGGAGGAGGCCGGGCGCCGGACGCCGCTCGGGGAGTTCGCACACGCGCTCGGCGCGAGTTGGCAGCCGCAGCCCAGCCCGTTCCCCCTCGCCTGATCCTGGGCGGGGTGGAGCGACCTAAAAGAAGGAGAGACAGACACAGGGGAGGGGAAACAAGCCAGCTGCCAGTTGCAAAAGCCCAAACCGAGGGGAGCCGCGGAGCAGCTCGGCGCGGGGAGGGTCGGGAGGAGGAGGCACGCCCGCGGGGAGGGGCGGGACCCGCCGCCCGGCGGCAGCTCACCTGTTCCAGCCGCCGCAGCCCCGGCGCTCTCGCTCTCCGGCCGCGCGCCGGCTCAGACCCCCGCCGCCTCGCTGCCGGGAGCCTACGGCGCCGCAGGGCCAGCTTCCTCGCGCCAGCTCTCCTCCCAGCCCGGCCCTCTCCTTTCGACCCGACCCTCCCCGCGGGTGCCCTCACCGCTCCTTTGCGGGGACCGCTCGTCCTGCCTACGTCCCCAAACCCGACGCTCCTGACCCCTTCCCTTTCACATCCCCCGCTGGATTGTCCCTCAGTCCTAACCCCCAGCTGTATCTGTATCCAGGTCTCCTCACGCTGGCTTCCTCAAACCTTGGCTTCTCCTTCTGAGTTCTTACCTCCCTCTCCTTCGCGCGAGGATTCTCAGGTAGCCTCGGACGGAGGCCCCGGGTTCCCTGAGAGTCAAGAGGGAAGGCTGTCCCGGGAACCCAGCAAGAAACGGCAGCATAACCCGAGTGCCCGAAACTTCCTCTCTTTAAATGCAGGACATCTTTCTGCCGGATCTCTGGAGAGCTGTCTGTGCTGGTGGGGGTTTTCAGCAGGTCACTGTCTGCCCCAGACCCCAGGAACTGATGTCTTTCCAGCTTTCACACCGAATATACTCTATGCTTCTGACATTTTTTCCCCCAATGCCATACCAAACGTTTCCTGGGACTTTCTTTCTTCCCAAGATCCAGTATAGGAAGTCCACCATTTGAGAACTCGGTGTCAATGGATTGAATGTATCTGAAAAGTTCCTTTACTCTAGTTACTTACTTGGAGCTCAGGCTGCATTTTTCCAGGGGGACAATATGATAATTATTGGTTACCTTACTAGGCCAATCCGGAAATGCCAACATAACCCATGTCACAGCTGAACTTCCCAGAGTCCTCCTGGTCCTTGAACCTCTCAGGTTCACCCCCTACCCTAATCAGGTGTCTTGGGCCTCCCTAAGAATTTTAAGTCTCTCATGTAACCCCCCGCCCCTTTACACCTCTCTCCCCTCTGTCCAAAATCAAAGCAAAACAAAACTCACAAATCTGCTCATTCCTAAAGGTAAACCCAACCCAGCAAGGTGTCCAGAGGAAAGAAATCTTATCAAACACATTCCCACTGATGTGTATCACCACTGACATTACCGAACATTCTCTAACCCTTCCAGAATGACCCATACTTTTAATTGACAATGCTTTAAAACTCAGATGAACCCCTAAAGGGTAGCTGGAGTTCCAGGCAGGGTCCCCGGATGACGTGAAAACATTTGGACTTCTTTTGAGGAGAAGTCACTGGAGGCAGGTAAGTGGAGACCCTTGGATTAATGCTTCTGTTCGCAGCTCCCTCCTTTCTTACATTTTTAATCCACCAGTTTTCTGGAAGATCTATGTTCTTTCCTGTAAAGTACCCATGGCTGCAGGGACAGCAACCACAGGGTCAGATAGGGAGCCCATAGGGGTGTACCCCTGTGGATTGGGAAAACCAGTTGGGAATGCCCTCTGTTTTAGAGGCTGAGGATTCACTCCTCAGAGTGAGGATTTCCCTCACTCTCTAGGGAAATCAGAGCCTGAGTGTCTATGCAATAACCCAAAACACTAAGGAGGAGCTAGGCACCAGAACCCCCACGTGTTGATTTGGAAATCAAAACTGATTTCCTCCATTTCCATCATGTCTGCGTCCTATCTCTGTGGTCAAGCAACGTAGGAGGTCCAGACACAACTCCAAGTAACTTATTGCTTTGCCATAAGATATCGTGCAGGCTCTGGAATGGTAATTTCTCAGAATCTCTGTGATCAACACATTTTTTTTCCTGTGTAAGCAAACCTACGTGGAAAGAAGTAGGTAGCTTGTTGAAAGTGCCATCAGAAGGAGGGGAGACAAATAATGAATATCATTAGGCCTCAGGCGTGCTTGTTAGCTGGAGGTGGCTTTGTTGTGGAATTATATGAACAGGCCCTATTCTGCGTGCTTTACACATACTAATTTAATCCTCCCAGGGATTCTTGGGGATCCTTACCACTATCATCATTCCCATTTCATAGGTGAGTAAGTAGAGATACAGGTTTAATAACTGGCCTGGGTTCTGTAGCTAGTTGATGGCAATCAGGATCTGAAGCCAGATATGAAGAGTCTGGACTCTGAACCACTATCCTACACTCTCCTAAAGACTTGGAGCCTATTAGCTACAGGGTGCATCCTGCTGTGAGGCCACCCTTTCCACTGGAAGGGAGCACCTAGCCGCCCTGAGTGTAGAGGGGTAGGGCCCGCCCCTTTTTCCGGCCTCTCCCTCTTCCCAGGGTTAGAGAACACTCTGCCCTCCCCTCATTGACAGGTTTTTTTTGGGGGGGGGGGGGTGTAGACATGTTAATGTACTGAAACTGGTGACTGTTGTGGTCTTACAGGCCTAAAAGTCTTATCTCATTCCTCAGATAGCTCTGCGTCTCTGGCCTCTGACTGGCAACGCGGATTCTCAAGGGTAAACTTTCTTTACCTCATTTCTTAGTTCTTCTCAGGACTTGAGACTAGTGCCCTGTAGCTCCTTAATCCTTGCAGTTAGACAGATTATCCCTTCCTACATCTTTTTTTTAAAAGAATGATCACTGGAAAATACCGAGAAGACTTCCAGCTTCCTCATTTTATTGTTTTAAAGATTTTATTTATTTATTTGAGAGACAGAGATTGTGAGAACGAGTGGGGGAGGGGCAGAGGGAGAAGCAGACTCCCTGTGGAGCAGGGAGCCCTACGCAGGGCTCAACTCGGGGCTCAATCCCAGGGTTCTGGGATCATGACCTGAGCCGAAGGCCGACACTTAACCGAATGAGCCACCCAGGCGCCCCTTCTCGTTTTATAAGTGTGCCATTTAAAGCTCAGAGTGGAGCAACGATGGACCCAAGGCCACAGAGCTGTGGCAAAGCAGCAACTGGGTTCTCGTGACTACCAGTCCAACTCCATGTTTCCGAAATTATACCTGAAGCTCCCCGACCCCCTTTTTCTTAAACCAGGTTTCTTTTGCTTAGCTCTGTCTCCTGTTCTGTTTCTGCCTTTTGGCCTAAACTTTTGATTCTCATTTCCCACCCAGCCAGAACTGGGATCCTCCTCTGTGGGTCCCTTCCTGCGGGACTTGCCTTTTCCTCCAGAGGTTTGTGTGAACGTAGACTTGCAAGAGCAGGCCACAGAATCCTCAGCTCCACGACACCAAGGGTACACGCGCAAGGAACAGCGTGTGTTCATTCAGTCATCCCACAGAGTTTGGTTGTACACCTACTACATCCCAGGCAGTTCTAGGTGTTGTGATCTGGGAGCAGAGAAATTGGCAAAGGCGAGCCCTATGGAGCTTATGGTGTAGTGGGTGGTAGAGTGGACATAGAGGAAGACAACAAACACGTAAGATATTTTCTTGCAGAAGTAAATACTGGAGGGAAACTAGAGCAATGTGATAGAGTCAAGAGTAACCAGGGCAAGCAACTACAGGGAGACCGGGAGTGGCGCTGTTAAGGAAAGCCTTTGGCAGGGGGTGACTTTGGAGTGAGCTGTGGATGGTAAGAAGAGGGGAGTCTTGCAAAGATCTAGGGAAAAAGGTCCTAGGAAAAAGGACGTGCCGGTACAATGCCCCTGAGACAGAACCCAGCTTGTCCGGTTCATGGAACCAGAAGGAGGTCAGTGTGGCTGGGTCAGCGTGGCTGGGGCAGCCTGTGGGAGGAAGAGAGAGCTAGGGGCAAGATCAGAGAGGGAGGCTAGACCAGATCACAAGGTAGGGCCTTGGAGGTGTGCAACACAGACCTTCCTCCTTGTCCTCTTTGAGTTTCAACAGCCAAACATTTTGGATTGTCAGTGTCAGTCTTGATTCAAATGTGACTTATTATTACCTCCTGAGTAAACTTCTATTGGGTTGAACACATGATCCAAAATTTGGGTTTGGAAAATATCATCACTGTACTTTTGGCACTGTTTCCTAAAGAGTAGGTAGAGCATCTTTAGGGAGATTTGTCCAATCTGCAGGATGGACAGCGGATACAAGGTAAATAGTGAAGAAGAGGAGACAAAGAGTTTCATGGTATCTGGGGGAGGGGGGATTAGAGAGCAGAACAAGAGTGAGAGAGAAAGAGAAAGAATGAGAAAGAGAGAGAGAGAGAGAGGGTGAGTTTGCAGGAGGGGTACTCGAAATGCAAAACTCCCAAGGTGAGGCCTAGCAAGGTCAATACTATTGGCAAAAGGCTTGTGGAGTACGAGGAAGCAGCAGGAGGCCCACCCTAGGATGCAAAGATCATTCAGACAAGAGGACAGACATGAACACAGAGTACATGGGGAGAAGGAGCCAGCTGCAGCACTGAGTGTGAAATCAGTGGAAACAGCTAAATCAAAATGCTGGCTTAGAGATTCTCACTTCAGAGGTGAAGCACCGAGACCGGGGCATGGCACTGAACAGAAAGAAGGCTAAGCAGGTTCTTAATTTTCTGGTATGCCCAGTTGGCAAACAGGTCCTTCATCACTTTGAAGAGGGTTGGCAACACCCTCTATGGCAAGTGCCTGGCTTTTCTGGGAGGGTCCTTGGTAAACCAGAAAGACCACCACCCAGGCTATCAGCCTGGCCAGGTAGTCAGGTGAGAGTTCTGTGAGTGCTCACACTGTGGTCAGAATGCTGCACGGGGGACGTTTTTAGGAGCAGGGCTAGCCCAGGGCAGAACCGAAAGTACTTAGATGTTTATCTTCCAGCCTCTCCTCCTGAGTTCCACCCCCTTTACTTCCCTTCCATAACAACCTGCAGTGGAAACAAACCTTATACCAGTCTTTCAATATCTATGATGTAAATTTAAGGCACTTTTCCTAAGGGATTATACATTTGATCCTTTTTAAAACTGTGAGTGGTAGGTTAGATCTTATATTAAAGACACACTGAACAAAATTGCTCTTTGAAATCCCAGTAGGCAAGAGAACCCTCCACATCCTAGGAAC